TAGGACTTCAGTATGCCCAGAGTTTGTATATTCAGTGGTCCTAGAATCAATTCCCTGTGGATGCTGAGGGACTGCTATATTACTGATACAGAGGAATTGATAAAATAGGTCTAAAGATAGAAAAGGAAGGGTTCGAGAATACAAGAAAAATTGGTCTTGGCCACTATCAATGTGCCAGGAAGGAACAAATGTGATTAAACATCAGGCTAAACATAGGGTGAGATTAATCTCCAGGTTCACCTCCCACATCTACATATGGCTGAGAATGGTCATGTGAGTCGGGACTTTTTTCTACCTTGCTCACCAACATACCGAAGTATCTAGCAGGGCCAGATCTGGCATATGGTCAGCAATCAATAAATATTTTTTAAATGAATCAAGAACAGAGTACAACTGGAGTATACGGATTCAAGTTAAACTAGATGGAGAATTTTTTTAAAAACAGCGTAAAGTCTAGGTAACATTGTTTATTCAGTATGTGATGATAAAAGAGGAATTTCAGAGACAAAGAACTTCATGAACAAAAGCAAGGTCATGCTTACTGCTTGAATAAGGATGTGAATCTAGGTCTGTCTTGAGCATGACTTATTAAAGGAAAAACCAAGTAGTCTGAGTGTCTGGAACATACAATTCCCACAAAGCTTGGAAAGAAAGGAAATAAACCTGAATACAGATGCAAGAAGGAAGAACATTTTGGTGGGCCTTAAATTCAATGGAAAGTCACTGAAAACATCTAAGGAAAGAAGATAAAATCTGAATGTTCACATTAAATGAATATTTTAAAGTATGAATGGTAGACTGAAGAGGGTAGGGGAAAACAATATTAAAATAACCTATATAAGATATGAGAACATAAACTAGGAATATTATAAATAATAAAATGGAATGCATACTCATTCATTTATCCTACTCTGTCAGTTAACAGGTTCAGCATTGGAGATACAACATTGGTGACAAAGCATAGTCTCTGCCCTCAGTAGCATATATCCTGATGGAGAAAAAAGAAAACAAGATAGTTACAGGCTGTGGAAAATTCCAGAAAGAAATATAGGGTGCTGTGACGGAAAGTAAGGAGAAGAACAAGTCTATGATTCTATTTTGGACATGTTAAATATAAGCTGCCTATGAGTTATCCTAATAGTGATGTCAAACAGGCAATGGGCATTCAAGAGCCATTACTGGCAGAAATATAAATCTACGACTTATTAGAATATAAATATTATTTAAAGCCATGAGCAGGGATAAGAATACCTTGAAGAATACTACTATAATTACTGCAAATAATAGCAGCAGTTAAGCTTAAATGGTGACTTACTCTGTCCCATACATTGCTGTAGTTATTGACATATATTCAGTCCATTTAAAGTCAAAACAATTCAGATGAGGAAAACGAGGCACAAAGACTTGTCCAATGTCATTCAGCAAATTTTAGAACTGGGATTCAAACCCAAGCAGTCTGGCTCCAGAGCATGCACTTGTATCAACTTCATTACGCTACCTATGTCAAGCAGAGACTAAAAGAAAAGCCAAAACCTAAACCATGAGGCACTCCAACATGCACAGATGGAGAAAAGACACCAACATAAAAGATGAGGATTAAGTGGCCTAAAAGGAAGGATAGTGATTGACTGGGGTCACACACCAGTAAGAAACCTCAGCATTAAGATATGAAAGCAAAAGAAAGAAAAGATAAACTATTAAAATTGATAGGGATACTGGCAATCATTTTGTGGATGAGAAAATGTACCTTCTGAATAAAACAATCATAGAAGTCTTGTAAGTTACTGGTGGATGCAGACTGGAATGCATGTTTCCTGATTATCAGTTCAGTGCTCTTTCTACAATTTCAATCTCCAGTAACAAAGGCAGCATTCGGAATGACTCAAAAAACATTAATACAGATGAGAGTGGCAAAGCCACTGACAGTAATCTGAGTGTTTATAATGACATAGGTACTATTAAACACTTCGCAAACCTCAGAATTTCATTCTCACAACCCTTATGAGGTAGTATTTTATCATCATCCGCATTTTACAAAGGATAAAACTGAGACCTAGAAAATTTAATAGCTTGCAAAACATCATGCTTATTGCTGGAATAAGGATCCGAATCCAAGCCTGTCCTCAGGATTCTCTTGGCTAACGCGTAACATTGCTTTTCGAAAAGTAACACTGTTAATCAAGACAGAAAAGAAAGAAAAGGACAGCAGAGTTTAAGGAAGTTTTTTAAAACTGTATCTGGGCAAAGGTGAGTACACCTTCATGACATCCACGTAGAGATGGTATGTACATGACTCCATGTATAAAAAATCCATTAATAAAATTTAGAGTAACCACTATTCACTGTATCTAACCCAATATATGGCATAAAGAACATACAATTTAAATGTTCCCTATTTGATTTACGATAATTGGAAAACATTCACAATTAAAATATGAGCAAACAAGATAAAAGAACCCTGCAACTGCATCATAATCTAGCTGCCTAAACTTATACAAATGACAGAAAGGCAGATGTCCAACGGCAGATGTCCAGGCAGGAAAGCAAGTTGTTAGGAATTTATTTTGCTAATATCTACCCAACCAGTGGAGAAAAAAAGCAGTTACCCACTACTGTGTAATAAGAGATCATTCACTAAGCTCATCAAGAATCTGCATATAAATAATTCTCAAGTAAAATAATCCTTTACCTGCTCTTATTATGATTGCTTTTGGAGTCACTGATAAGCTTTTGATCTTTTTTTTTTGTTTTTGGGACAGAGTCTAGCTCTGTCGCCAGGCTGGAGTGCAATGGCACAATCTTGGCTCACTGCAACCTCCGCCTCCTGGGTTCAAGAAATTCTCCTGCCTCAGCCTCCCAAGTAGCTGGGACTACAGGCATGCGCCACCACACCCCATTAATTTTTGTATTTTTGATAGAGACAGGGTTTCACCATGTTGGCCAGAATGGTCTCAATCTCTTGATCTCGTGATCTGCCCACCTCAGCCTCCCAAAGTGGCTCATTACAGGCATGAGCCACTGCACCCAGTCACTTCTGATTTTTTTAACTGATTTCAAAGGTGCTTTGGTAATCAGAAATGGTCCTTTTGGTGGTAGATATGAGCATTTTCACCACTGTAAAGGTTTATCTTCCACAGTAAATGAATAAATCAACATTCACATGTACAAACCAATGCCCCGTGAGCAGGATTAACGGGTTCCTTAGCATTAATCAATTGTGAGAGAGCTGATAAAAAATAGTAATTTGTGAATCCACAAAATAGAGAACCACTCTCTTGACCTTCCTAAGCCCACTGTCTACTTGTGAAACTTGAAGTGATCCAGTCCATCTCCACCTGCAGGTCTCTTTTTAATTCAACAATCCCTCTTAAAGCTGCCAGGAAATTGTTACTGAAGTGCTTTTATCACTGCCCTGTTAGACAATATTTGGTACTTAGAAGAATGTCCTAAAATATTCACTGAATAAATGACCTCCAAATAGATTTAACGCCACCAACCTTTTGCCTTTTTCAACTCTGGAAACTAAGTGACTCAAAGAGTGCTGTTGTGACATAACAAATTTAATAAGAAATGTGCTCCTAAGGAATAAATATTTCCCAAGTGTGTAAGTGGTACTTATTTTAACAAGTGTAATCTAAGTCCACCCACCAGCTTTAGAGATTTGCAATCTCTAAAGACACGTCATTTGTTCCTGAACACACATCTGCCTCCCATGAGCCAGGGAAAGCCAGAGTGCCAGTACACAGACCAGATAGTACTCCATTTTCAACGTATTACACAAGTGACACTTAGAACAAAACACTCCAAAGTTAATCTCTCGCCTGCATTTTTCAAGCTCTGCTAACCATAGACATTAAACTCTTAATAATCTTAACACTGACTATACTGTGCTAGAGGTCACCACATAATCTTTTTTATTTAACCCAAACAATTCTATGACATAAATACTTCTCATTCCCACTTGACAGATGAGGAAAGCAAAGTTTGGAAAGGTTAACTTGCCCAAGGTCACAGAGCTGGTTAAGTGGAAGAGCCTAGAAGACTGAATGAGCTCTTAACCACTAGGCTACACTTTCATACCCAGTTTAACTAAGTCAGTTCAGCAGATTCAATTATATGCTGGATTTAAATTATGAATAGTTTCCACTTAAAAATAGCCCTGTGCAATTAAAATTTTCACATGAATTTAAAAGTACTTCCTTATTACAAGTATCTAAGATCTGCATTAATGGGAAATAACCTTTAAAAAATCAAAGGGAGAGAAGATGGTTTTTAAAAAGAGAGGCAGGAAAGAGGCTTTTAAAACTAGAATGTCGTACAAATGCATTTTGCTTCGAAACAACAGAAATAAAATTTCTCATTCTAGATATTCCTTTTCCCAGCTAAGTCCATTCCTTTATCAGTAATTTCCTTAGATGTCCCAGTTCACGAACCTTAACTACTAAATACATTTTAGGTCCTTCTCTTTGATGTTCCTTTATGTTTTTCAGAATGAACACTACAAAAGAGTCTATTCTAATTATGCGATTTCATTTAAAGCGCCGAAGTACAGGCTCAAAAGAGTGGCTACAAAGTACATCTCCACTTGGGAAGTTATAGATGTTAGGTCCTAGCAGGGAAGTAGTGGAGTTTCCTTACTCTCTCCTTCCCAGAGCCCTGCTAAGTCCCTAAATCGTTCTCGACACCTTCGTTAGCTGCTTGTCTCCAGGAGTCTTTCTCCAAATCCCCCCTCCGGGCAACTCAAAACAAGACCCCAGGAACTTGTCACTCACACCCTATTCTCAGTCCCCTTCCTGAAGCCACAACTGTCCCGTTAGAAGATAAGAGAAGGTTGTCGCGTCTCCTGACAAAAAAGTGAAGATGAAAGAGAAAGGTACTAGGGAAAAACTTTGGCCTAGCCACACCAAGCCCGGGGGCAGAATGCTGGGAAGTAAGGCTGGCGGGACGGGGCTGGGAACTGCGCTCCCCACGTGGGCCAGAGGAGACGGAACAGCACTCACAAGGCCATCTATCTGCACTTGCTTCACGGCTGAATCTCCAGAGCCGCCTTTGCCCTTGCCTTTCCCTGCTGCGCCGGCGGTGGAACTGGAAGAGGTGGCAGAAGAGCCGGCACCTTCCTTGCGAGACGCCATCTTTCTAGGCAGACAGGAAGAAAGAGAAACATGGGTTACCGGAAGCGGAAGTACAAGTCTCGCGTGACGTCACTCGCAGACTAGCGTTCGGCGGGCGGAGCTGGAAGGAGAAACCAAAATTGGGCCCCGCCTCCCTCCTCTTTAGCAGTTATATCTTCTTTCCAGGCGGTAGCCTTTGTGCATGCCTACTGTACATTTTCTGCCTCTTTCCAATGGAATGATCTAAAATGAAAGTAAAGTTTTTAAATGTTTAAACATTCACCGTTAGGCGAACGGTCATAATAGCGTTACAGTTCGCATTATTTCTGTAGCGTCTCCTTCGTAAAAATGCTTTCTGATTTTGCAATGAACTGCTGTACTAGCTTGCATTATGCATATTAGAAAACTGAGAAGTGGTTTGCCCGACACTATTCTGTTAATTAGCGGTGAGCCAATATTGCATAGCTTCTTGTATGTAATTTTAGATAGCTACCTGTATAAACACTTAGATTATACAGAAATTAATTAAGACATGGAAACTTTTTTCAGAATTACCAGAAATAGTAGCCTTTTGCTATTAGTTTTATGTAGCCATTTACATAAGTATCAAAGAAGTTATTTTAGGTCTTGTTGAAGGTTGATACAGAACATATTTTCTAAAAATCACGCTGATTTATGACACATTATTCTGAAATACACATCGCAAGTCTTTAAAAGAATATGTGCCAACTGTAAGCAGCCTTTTTAGATAAGCAATTTAAAACATTCTTTTCTACTTCCTAATGACTTTTTTCCTATCCCTTAATTTTGAAATGTTTATTAATTCAATCAACATATATACAGAACTGGCAAATAGTTAAATCAATAAACGGCATGTCCTGCCTTGAAGTGTTTTGTTGTTTTTATCATTGGGATCTGGTGTTATATTTCAGTCTGGGAGAAGAAATAGTTATATGTTACAAATTCTCAACCCTGCAAAATGGAAAGTTAATATCCATTCATTTCAAGTGTATATGAAATATTTATCAAAATAGACCACATCCTAGGTCACAGAGAAAGTCCACAAATTTAGAGGTGTTGAAGGTTGATCCTGGTAGAATTACACTAGAAATTGGTAATAGAAAGGTCACAAAAAGAAAAAAAGAAGAAAGAAAATTTCTCATGGAAGAACTAGACTGGAGGCTAACGCCCTTTTTGACCTTAGCCCACTTGCACCCAGGTGAAAAAAAAAAAAAAAGAACTAGACTGGAAGTTTTTGCCTACCACTAGGTAGCTGGAATGATGAGCATCAGAAAACAGCCAGGCTACTTATAAACAATAATACATTTATTTATTGCTTTATCCTACAACATACATAACCCAGTTTTGTTTCAAAATTACAATACCAATATCCTAATAACAATAAAACTACAAAGTAAAGTTTAAAATTTCTTTGCAAATTTTGTGTCCTTGAAAATATCCAACTAAGGTTTTGCAGCCATGTGTGCTAAACACACTACAATGGGGTATTTTCATCCGTCCTGAGACAGTTCATGTGAGCCCTCTTTATCAAATAGACTAGATGTAAGAGATACAACAGAGAGAGAGAGAACTCCAGACCTCAGGTGATTTGTCTGTCTCGGCCTCCCAAAGTGCTGGGATTACAGGCATGAGCCACCACACCCGGCCAATATAAATGTTTTAAATATACCAATTAAAGGAAAACAATTGGATGAATGGATAAATGGATAAAAACATGATCTATCCATAGGCTGTCCATAAGAAACTCACTTCAAACATAGTAATATAAGTATAATGAAAACAAAATGATGAAAAAAATATATCATGTAACCAGTAATCAAAAGAAAGCAGGAGCAGCTATATTAATATCAAATAAGGAAAATTTCAGAGAAAATAAAATAATCAGAGACAGAGGAGACATCACATAATGATAAAATGGTCAATCACGAAGTACACACCAGAATTCTAAATGTGTATGCCCCAACAGAAATCAGAACTTACGTGAAGAAAAAACTCATAGAACTGAAAGGAAAAATGGGCAAATCTATAATTATGGATGGAGATGTTAACTCCCTCTCTCAACAATGGATAGGGCAACTATAGAGAAAATCAGTACAGATGTAAGGAACTCAACAATACCATCAACCAACAGGATCAAATCAGCATTTATGGAATACTCCAAGTACAAAATATACACTGTTTTCAAGTGTCCATAGAACATAGAGGTTATATCCTGAACCATAGACAAACTTCAGCAAGTTTAAACCTCAACAAATTAAATGATTTCTGAATTGAAATTATTCATAATATGTTCTCAAATCACAACAGATTTAAACAAGGAATTAAAACATAGGATAACAAAATTTTCTCGATATTTGGAAACTAAACAGCATACTTCTAATAATCCACAGATCAAAGATGAAATTTTGTGTGTATGCTTTAAAATTTCCCTAGGAAAATTTTAAAACATACACACAAATTAAACTAGATAAATATAAAATATTAAAATGTATGGGGCACAGATACATCAGTGCTGAGAAGGAAGTTTATAGATAACTGCCTACATTAGAAAGAGGAAATGTGTCATTTAAGCTTTCTCTTTAAGATCCTAGACAAATAAGAACAAAATAAAACTGAAGTATGCATAAGAAAGTAAATAACAGATTATGAGAAACTGAATATACTTAATCATCCAAAGATGGTAGGTCACAACCATTAAGTTGTCTTTCTGTCCTCCCATAAGGAAGTTCAATATTGTGGGTGTTAATTTCATTATGGATATTTATTTATTATATAAAAAAAATTATCCTGTATTCTCAACAAGATGTTCTTCATTCTCTTTGTCACAGAAACAAATGTTTTTAGCATATTTCTGTAATTACTGGAAATATTTCTAATTTAGTTACAGTCAAAAAGAGAAAGCCTGATGAGAGCCTTCCAAACTAAGCTGTGGGCCCCGCCCATGTGTGATTACTGCATGGCGACAGGAAGCAGAGGATAGCCTGTCACACTTGAGTGAGCAAATATAAAATAAACAGTCTAACTAGTTCTGCTTTTGTGGCATAATAACTCTACCCACTAGAAAAACACAACCCAGTGAAAGTCAGGCTGTGACCGTTCCACGCCTTAGAACCAGCCAGTATTGGAGCTGCTTTCCCTCACTTGGCTCAGGCACTTAAACACCTTTCAATGCAGTAAAATGAGAGTCAGGACACCAAAGATGAGCCCCTAAACGTTGTTAAATGTCATTTTGTAACGATAGAGAATGTTATTTTACAATAGAGAATGTCCATTTTGGGGGTTCATCTGGCTTGTTCTACATTCAGATGAGCCAAAAGATGTGTGTGTGTGCATGTGTACACACAGTGCGCACATGCGTGCACGCGCACACACACACACACACACACACACACACACACACACACACGGTGTCTTACTCTGATGCCCAGGCTGGAGTGCAGTTGCATGATCTCTGCTCACAGCAGCCTCAACTCCCACCCCAACACAGCTGATCTTCCACCTCAGCCTCCCAAGTAGCTGGGACTACAGGCACACAGCACCACACTTGGATAATTTTTGTACTTTTTGTAGAGAAGCAGTTCCACAATGTTGCTCAGGCTGGCCTCAAACTCCTGGGCTCAAGTGAACCTCCTGCCCGGTCTCCCAAAGTGCTGGGATTACAGGTGTGAGCCACCATGACCAGCCTGCCAATATAAATTATTTTAAACAAGAAGGAAATATATGCTATCATAGATCTAGATGTCTAGAGAAGGGCATACTCCAAGTGAAGCAGCATAAAGGCTCCAGTTCCATTCCTTTATAACTCTCTGCACTCTGTCTCCTGCCAGGTTTGGGTTCTGACCACAGACTGACTACCACTACAATCTCAAGCTCTCAGTAGCAATTGAAACAATACACTTTTTTGTTTGTTTATTTCAAGAAAACCTCTCCCCCAACCATAGAAAAAAGGTCTTTGTCATTAGACTCACCGAGATCAATTTAAATCATAGGCCTCCTTTCGCGTACACATGTGAAATAAAACTATGGGAGGTTATACTTTGAAGAGCTAAGTAATTTGCTCAGTGTTTTGAAAGAGACAATAGAGAGTATAAAGTTGGAGCCAATAAAAAGAAAATAGTATTCATTTACACGTAAGACTCAGCATGTGGACATATTCTATATGTTTTCTGAAATAATAATAATTTTTAAAATGACATTGGACTTTTTATCCCAGTATTTTGATTTATGACTTACCAACTAATATTTAATCAAAGTAATCTTGCAGTTAAAAAAAAATTAAGAGGATTCTAAGAGTGGCTTTCATTTTGTATAATATCATGTAATTAATACTTCATTTTGGTGTAATTCAATTATAAATACTAGACTTTGAAATAATATTCTACCGGATTATTGAAAGCACGTTTAATTTCTTGCCACCAGGACTTCAGTTTCTGCCCGGAGTTCTCCTGCTGCTTAAAAATATATACAAAACCACGAGTGAAAGAGTTGTCTTCAACATTTTGTTAAATATAAATAAATAGTGTTTTTTAGAAAATCCTGTTAAAGCTGTAATCTGACATAATTTCCAATCTTTAAACTTATTTAAGTAACAGTAATACTATTTGCTTACCTACAGTAATTTTATAAGGATCCATTAATCTTCTAAAGTGCTATGATAGATTAAAATGAAAGACCCATGTAGTTTGAACTTCTCTAGCAGTTTCAATAATATAATTAAATTTCAAATGGCAGTTTGCTTTGCATCACAGTAAAACACGTTTGCCATTGCAACTACTTCTTAACTTTTTGCTCTGCTCTACCAGTTTTTATTTCCACCATTTAAATTAATGTCATTAAACATTTTGTAGTAAAATGCCAATGGAGAGCACTGTTTAAGTCTGTTAGAGACAGGCTGGGCACAGTGGCTCACACCTGTAATCCCAGCACTTTGGGAGGCCAAGGGGGAACAGATCACTTGAGGTCAGGAGTTCGAGACCAGCCTAGCCAACATGGTGAAAAACCGTCTCTACTAAAAATACAAAAAATAGCCAGGTTTGGCGGCGGGC